TAGTCTTTGCATGTATCAGAATTACGCGCACGAGCAGATCCGTTCCCTCACTAGAGAAGCGTTCTGTTTTTCCGCTTGTAATTCCGCCATGAAAATAGCGAATCCGCCATGGCGCGAGCGCAACTGGCTTTTAAAGGTAATGGGAGATGAGACTCTGATTGGTTTATGGCATGTTACGCCCAAAACGCACCCATTACTCATTAAGAGAATAGGGACAACCCTTTTAGACCATGCACCGGGCGCGCCGACCGTTTTTCCTGTCCTTAAACTAGCAAAAGTGGATGTGGACACGCCCTAAGTGCACCTGCGCCGTGCGCTTAATGCCATGCGCTTAGATCATGCAGGAGGGAGATGCAGGGAACAGGGATTGGGTGTTCTGCAAAGAGAGTTGGAGGTAAATAATTTTGCAGTAACTGTTATGCTGATGTTGTGGCTGGTCAAGCAAATGTTTGTGCTTGTTTCTGTATGATATAATTGTTCATATATCTATTAAAATAATGATATTCTGGTCTATAACTCCTCCCCGAACTTCCCTCTGCCCTGTATCTTGGTCTCTCATTGGCTGTAGGTCATCGCCGATGTAGTTTTCAGTCAGAAATCATTGCACACTGCGTGATTGTGAATCGCAGACAGCTCCAGATATTTAGCATGCCAAATATTTTGCGGGCGTCGGCGACGTGTCGGCGATTCCCTCAGATCGCGTCTTTGATAATTCACACTGCGTGATTGTCACTCGTGTGAACTGGCACCGATTTGCCTCCGATGTCGGGCAATTGTCGGCGATTTCGCAAAACCTGTTGGCGAGTGAAAAATCGGGCTAATATCGTGCAGTGTGAACTCGGCATTAGACCATGCGCTTAGATCGTTAAGGGCCCTTAAAGAGTAACTGTCAACTGCAGACTATACAATAGTTTAGGAATCTATTCTGAGAAGGATAGAATCTGTATTAAAGAAATACACTTCTAATGAATAAAAGTACTAACACCTTAATAAAGAAAGATTTCAACATTTTTGTCAACTTTCCTACAATAATTTCATGCTATGATATAAGCGCCAATGAACACACAAGTACAAAACTTTAAAACAAAATTAACATCAGCTCTTCAAACTCTAAATATTGTATCTAATAAGAGTTACAAGTAATTTCTCATTACAAAATCCGACTCTTAATTACTGACTGAATAAACCACATTCAAAGCCGCTGTAAATTGCTAATTAATGCACACCTGTGCCAACTTGCTAGTTAAACCACAGACATTTAAACTAATGAACCTACCTGCAGAAGAATTTTTTTCTGATGATTAATACTAATACATTTAACTAGGCTATTGCTGTGGGAATGAAGCTCTTTTACTGGCTGCTTCGACTGCAAAATAAAGGAAAATTTAATGCATCTAGGAAGAGATTGTAAGAGCATCCATTTCAACATAACTTCTCTCTCATGCATTTTTAATTCATTGATTGGTAGATGAAGTTAAGATTGTGCTGTACTGAATAGTCTCAGCTGCAGGCGGCACATCCACGGACCACCCACAGTCTGCTTACTGACCATCTGAATTTCTCAATCTAGCAAGATCTAATCTGATTGGCTGACTTTGTGCAACTTTTGAGAGTAAGAACAGAGTTTTTTTGGAATTACGAAACCAAATTGCATTTACAAGGCTAAACCGAAAGAGTGCTGCAGGGATGACATATTTTCGTAAGCCAAAACCCAGAAATAAAATAAGGTTTGTGGTGAACAAAAGCTCAAGATATTTTCTCATTTTATTCTACAACATACATCAGTAATATCCATTTGTGCCATTTTTAAAGTTTTAACTTGTTTTGAAAAGCAGCTAAATGGGACTATAGTGCTTTTTAGGCATTCATTTAATGCATCAGAGTGAAAAGGCCTAATCCACTAGTTGCTTTCACAGACTCGTGTCTATAATCGTGCTCATGCAAACTATTCTAACTCAAACTTTCAGGGAAAATGTTTTTTTTTTTTTTTAAGATTTAAAGAGTTGTTGGAGACTTTGCGGTGGTGGCGTTGAAGTCATGACCCTGGTGTAGTTTGTTTATAGCCTGCGTTTAGCGTTTAATAATGCAAAAGTCAATGGAAAAATCTTATTGGGTTTTTGTCGACAATTAAACCAGATTTGCACAAATTTAATAGCATACTCCGCTTTGTTTTCTAAGTTGTCTGTGTGATCAGAAATGATGTCTCCCAAATACGAACTATGGATTACTAGAAATTCTACACGGTTTCTGCTAAATGGCATGTAAAATGTAATAAACTCACTTTATGTGTTGCTGAAATAGTGTGTTCCTGTCAAGGTAGACAGAAAAAGCTGAAATGTGGACTAAGACTTTATGCTGTTTGTCAAAAGTCTGACTATGAACTGAATAACAGCAGGTTCTCTGCTTTTCATAGAGGATGACTGAGAATGAACATTGCATCACCTTGTTGAAGAGCTGTTTTTTTGAGCTCGGCATCGCTGCAGGACAGACAGTGTAGGAACACATGTAATGTACTTTCTCCCAAAGAAAACAAACCTGGGCAAGTTTTGGCAATTTCTCTGTCTGGCTACTGTGACTCAATGGTGCAGAGTTGGACAGTTATATGAAACTCTCAACACCAAAAATAGGATGACCAACCACAACAGAAGATCACAAAGTCTGTGATGAGATCTTTGGGTACGGAGATGACAAATGCCAAAAGCTCTGTTCCCAAACCAAGTTTGCTGCCTACATAGACAGCACTTTAAAGTAATCATAGTCCTGCTATTGACATGAAGGCTGCAAAGCTAGGCAGCAACATTATGCTGATACCTAATTTTGATCTAATTCCAAGACAGCATCAAATATCTCCTTAACGAACAGAACACTCCCAGAATGCATTGCAATACACTAAGTGAACCAAGATTACAGAGGATTATAAAGATATATTTCATTCAATTATGACAAATATGTTATAGTATCATGATTTTAGCTTTGCAACATGCTGGCATCAAAGTCTGAAACTATTCGATTGCAATTTGTTGCTGCCTGTCACTTATAAGGTTCCATTTCAGTTAGAATACTGCCTATGTAGACAACAGACACTGGTTTTGGAACAGAGCTAACAAAGTGAAAACAGCCAAAACTGACAACACATTCCTGATTACTTATTAAAAATGGCAGTGCATGGACATAAAGTTGAAGATCACCAAAAATAGCTCTTATGATGAATTGCAAATAAATTTGAACTGAAGCAACATGAAGCAACTAATAACAACTGCTGGCAGAGACAGTACAGGTAGGGAGAAGGTTGCTCCATGTTCCTGGGGCTAATTCCTTCGCCCCTCCTTTCACAGATTGGTTTGTGAAGTGTTTTTATTCATTGCTGTCATGTTCTGGCAATGCCCAGAGGCCTGAACATTTAACCACAGCAAAGCAATGGAAGCCAGTGGCAGAAGTTCTGCTGGCTGAATGAGCACGTCACACACCTGACAACATCTCCTCACACCAGGAATCTGGGATTTCCTTCCACAGGGGCATTATGGGTAAACATCCCCAATAATAAAAACGGTTTACCATATGTGGATACTTAGAGAACAAAAATGTGCAAATATTGTATCAAAGCAATATCGGTGGAAATATACCAGCAACAGATCTGCTTGTAAGGCTGCAATGTATTGAAATGTATTTTATTCTTCTCCAGAATTTCCTTAAAGTACAGTTCATTTTTTTTATACTTTAAGAAAAAAATGACAAGCTCCACAGCATTAATTTGCTCCACTTCTCTACTGTCTGTCTTTAATATTACTCAGAAAGCTGAGGAATACTGACAACAACATGACCAAATCCTAACCAAATATTAACTAGCACAACTGTTTTAACATTGATCATTTGTTTTATGCATCTAAGAATATTAGAATGATTTCTGAAGGATCATGTGATGCTGAAGACTGGTGTAATGACTGCTGAAAATTTCGCTTTGCATCACAGGAATAAACTACATTTTAAAATATATCACAATAGAAAACAGTTATTTTAAAATGCAATAATATTTCTAAATATTGCTGTTCTGACAGCATTTTAGATCAAAATGCAGCCTTGGTGAGCATAAGATCAGAAATCTTACCAACCGATAACATTTTGAACAGTAGCGTACATTGAAATTTACATCATAAATTCCTTGAGATGTTCTTAAAGGGGTCATATGATGCTTTTTTAAAGATCATTATTTTGCGCCAGATTGTCATAGCAAAGTCAGAATTACCTCCTCTCCTAGGTTCACGAAACGGTCGTCCATAAAATGCATTGCTGTTCTGTTGTAAGTAATCTTAAAGATTCCTAAATGCATCTACTTTCGGAAGGCCAAATAAAGTGCTTTTGCTTTCGCCTAGAAACACACAGCTTCTCCCTGACATGGCTGCATCAACACTAACTGCGGTTACTGAAACCACGCCTTCTTTCTTTGCGTGAACATTTGGGCCGCATTATGCAAATATTTCCACATAGTGAGGTAGATATGTGGGGGTGTGTTAGAACGAGCCGTTTTAGGGGGGCGTGGCAGAGTCTTAACTTTGATAAAGAATATCTCTTTGGTTTTGAGACTTTAGTCTTCACAACTTCAGGGATCTTATCTATGCACAATCAGCTTGTAACACTCCAAAGAGAAAGGAAAACTTGAAATCGCATCATATGACCCCTTTAACTAAATGAAAATGAAAATGCAAATTGCATATGCATTTACAAACATTATTCCTAGCATTTGTTTGCATATTAATTTGTGGCTGGTTTTCTTTATTAACCATCGATAACCTCCTATAAAGTTCAAAGATTGTCTCACTGCATTTACTTCTGAGCACAGTTTACAAAAAACAAATTGCATGCTCGCTTCAAACAATGATGACAGCCATGTATAAGTTGGCTTTGATGCAGCATCTCAAAGTCTAAATCCTAGTCTTACCTACAAATTAATTCATTTGCTGCCCTGCACGCACTGATAGTTCCTGCAGGAAATGCAATTCTAGTTTCAGAATTAAAAAGACGATTTAAAGCAGATGATGTCGAGTTCATCGGAGTTCACCGGCCATGAAATCCAAGAGTGTTAAAGAAAACAAGCAGATGTTTGTTACTCTATTAGTGTAATTCTTCATGCTCAGAACAGGTCGGGGAGGTTTTGTGAGCTTCAGGCAGTTTCCAGTGTTCTGGAGTGAAACTTCTGTAAAGTTTATTCTATCTTGAAATGTGTGTGGGAGAAAGAGAGAGAGAGCAAAAAAAGAATGAAAATGACACTAGAAGAGGGAGAGAAGGGATTTGTACAAGAAAAAGTGTGGTTTGGCCAAGGGTTGTTTCTGATGGTTGCTTGGAGTGCTTTCGGAGAGTTGAAATATTATATAGACTCATACACACTCATGCATACACAAACACAAACCACACAGAAAGAAAAGAAAAAAAAATCTGCCGAACACTAAGACTTGTGGCTGCCAGAAGATTATGTAAGTTTAATCAGTATTTTCCTCATGGGCAGAGAAATCCCCTGAGCAACTGGCCACAAACAAAGAGGTCTGAGAGTCAAACTGATCGACAGAAAGAACAGATTCCTTTCACCTCTCGGCTCAGAATAGAAAGTTCTCTCTCATCACCTTGGGCTGAGCATTCAATAAAATCTCAATGACAAGAGCTGCCATTGCCATTCAAGGTCAAACTGCTGCTCTGTTTGCAAGGAAAACCAGCTATGTTGCAGAATGGAAGGATAAATGACCAGCTTAAACTATGAGACGCCGACAGAAACCTTCAGCTCAGGGAATCTAGCTAAATAAACATCAAGCCCCAACAACTGAACAAATGATACAGCAGAAGAAGAGTTGAAGATGGACAATGTATCAAGACTTTCTAATACAGGTTCATTCAGAAAAGAGTTACCAACTGCAAACAGTACAGTTACATTTACTGAAGAAAATCTGGCTGGTGCAAAAGTCAAGCTGAAGTGTTGTGTGGTTGCCAGGGCATTGCTATGCAGTTTCTAAGTTTCCATGAGAATGCAAATGATGTGGTTTAGGAGAGGTTTTGTTCTGAGAGCTCAGATTTATGATTTTCTAGTAATGCATGATAAAGTTTTACTTCGAAGGACGGACCAGAGGCATATTTAATCACTATTAAAGCAAGATTTTCTTGCCCTATTTATCATCTAGAAAAGATTAGAAAGCTAATAGCACACCTCTCCTCAACAAGTGCCATCATTTGAGAAATGATTTATGTCCGCTGAGTAATGCATCCACATTTAATACTTATGGGGTTAGTTGTTTGTACAAATCCCTAATATAAAACTGAATTCTTGTGTAAATCATTCATACACTATTGTTCAAAAAAAAGTATTTAATTTTTATTCATCAAGGACTTAAACTGATTAAAAATTACAGTAAAGATATTTAGAATGTTACAAACATTTCAAATAAATGCTGTTATTTTGAACTTTGTATTTATCAAAGAATCCGGAAAAAGGTATCACCGTTTCTACAAAAACCTTAGGTAGGAATAAATTACATTTAAAATATATTAAAATAGAATCCATTTCTAATTGCAATAATATTTCCCAATATTGATGAACAAAGACTTTAAAAGCATTTACATTTTAATGGGCATAATTAAGTGTGAAAATAACAGAAGGATATACAGTCAAACCAAAAATTATTCAGAGACCAGGCATAATTTTTTATATTTTTTTAATAGTGGGTGTAGGACACTATAGTTCATTTATGTAAAGTGAGAATAGCAAAATAAACTAAACTGTGATATATTATACCCAAAAATTCTTCATACAGTGGACTACCAGTAAAATTGATACA